TTCATTTCCGTTGCTGATCCGACAGCTTGTAATTTCATACATCTGCTTTCATTTGTAAAGCACTCACTTATCCTACTCATTCTTTATCTGTTCTGCCTGTTCTTTTTCCTACCCTTTGTTTTTCTTGTTCACATTCAGGTACCTGTTTTTTCTTCTTGAAGTCACAAAGCTGGCATAATGAACACAATACAATGGTCTCCATCAGAGTTCTTTCAGAGGAGCATAATACAAGCACCACACAGCACATACCAAATCGAACTCTCATACGTAAATCAAATTTAAGATACTGTACTGCAGTTATGATCATGATGCCTTTTTACCAAAGCAAATAAAAATACTGAAAATGGGTAGTAAATTCTAAATACTTTTATAAACGATAGGCAGTAAGACCAATGCATTTCTCTCTTGAACAGATCAGTATGTGGTCTATTCTGCAATGAAAAATGGATTAAAATTATTCTTTTTTTTTTAAATGTATAGTAGTGAAGCAATTGAATAATAGCAAAAAAAATCAAACTGTTGGGCAATGACATGTGTTCCCTCTGATCCCTAAAAGTTAAATTTTAAAATGAAACCTTACCATCCAAAGAAAGTTAAAAAACTCCAACACTATAATGAGTAAGGCCTGCTAACTTTTATATTTATTTTATCTTTAGGGTTTTCCCACATATTCAGCTGCCCCTTTTTCATGTAGAAATCTTCACAGAAGAGAATATCATTGCCAGCGCTCTATTTGCTGGGGAATCTTGGGTTAAAGGGATTACTTTGCAGAAACACCTTTTGGTCATCATCTTTGTTTCAAAGTAAACTGATCTTGGACATGAGCTGGCAATGTTGCTCACAACAGAAAGTCAGCCATACCCTGGGCTGTATAAAAAGCAGCGTGACCAGCAGGTTGAAGGAGGTGATTCTGTCCCTCTACTCTGCTCTGGTGAGACTCCACCTGGAGTACAGCATCCAGCTCTGGGGTCTCCAGCACAAGACACACACGGACCTCTTGGGGCAGGTCCGGAGGAGGGCCACAAAAATCGTCAGAGGGATGGAACACCTCTCCTGTGAGGAAAGGCTGCGAGAGTTGGGGTTGTTCAGCCTGGAGAAAAGAAGGCTCTGGGGAGACCTTACTGCAGCCTTCCAGTACATAAAGGGGGAGAGTTTTCTACATGACCTGTAGTGCCAGAACAAGGGGTAATAGCCTTAAGCTGAAGGAGGGTCGATTTAGATTAGTATTAGGAAGAAATTCTTCACTATGAGGGTGGTGAGGCACTGGAATAGGTTGTCCAGAGAAGCTGTGGATGCCCCATCCCTGGAAGCATTCAAGGCCAGGTTGGATGGGGCTTTGGGCAACATGGTCTAGTGGAGGGTGTCCCTGCCCATGGCAGGGGGCTTTTAACTAGATGATCTTTAAGGTCTCTTCCAACCCAAACCATTCTATGATTCTTGTCTCTTCAGGACAAATGTATAATATTACCCCACAGAGCAGCAGTTATCTTAAAAATTATAAACAAAATAGCAGTAAAACCAAACAACCCCCTTTTTTCTGAGTATGTACATTGGAATTAAAAGGATTCCTAACAATCAACTGTAGGATAGTTTCTGGAAGGAGAATCTGTGTAATACAAATTTCTCCAATCTCAGCAGTATCTGGATGGTGCAGAAGTTCAACAGTGAAATACTTTACACTGTGGCCAGCTGCCTTGTACTAAGCTTGGTGCTGGTGTACCTGTGCTTTTCCTTCACTAATAGCCTTGGCAAGAGTCACACCTGGATCCAGCTTTTATTCTGAATAACAAGTTCTCACTAGTCTCATCCAAAGATGAATGCTATTGGTATTTCTAGGGAAAGGAGTAGAGAAACTCCTCTATATAGAGAAAGCAATCTTACTGCCTTTTGATTAATATTTGTTATGCAGTGCCTAAAGGAACATTAAATTGCTTTCTCCCTTCTGCTTTAGATGAGGCTGACTTTTCTCTATTGGTCCAATAACCATTCCTGGACACAAGCAGCAATAATAGCAGTGGAAAACATGTAAACTAACTGTTATCTGTCCTCAACCAAGTCCTAATTTTCTGCCATGTGTCATTTCTTAAGAGTTTAATGTCTAATGCCACCAATCCTGTATCCAGATGACTTCCTAACCCAGGAAGGGTAGGACTACTTCCCCGTGCTGCTTTATGCATGGCTATGTTCTCTTTAGTAGGTCCTAAATTGAGTTAGACATAGATAATTCAAACATCTTGCATGACAACAAAAATAACAAATCAGCTCCTCTAAGAAGAGGCTGTGGCTCTTCTATTTCCCTCAAAATATTCAGAGCACTTTTAGGTAAGAATATATCCTAACAATGGCCATACATAGTCCTCAGGCTGGAACATGATAAAAATATACTTATTCTAACACAGATGAGTCAAAATTAGCTCCTGGTGCTATAATGATTTTAGTTTACTATGCAAAATACAGACAGGTCTTCCAGGTTTGTTATTTTTTTTGTCCTTCTTAAATGGAAGTGTATAAAATATCCATATTTTTGTGCTGCACCCTCCCCTCCATTCTGATTTCATCAACAACTGCATATACATCCATATTGGGGAAACAGAAGTAACAGATTCATGCCTCAGATTTGACAGATTTAAAAATAAAAAAACCAGTTGTTTTGCATGATTTTTTTTTCCAAAGAAACCCAGAAAATAATTTATTAAAACTCGCAGATACTTTGATACACAACCCTACACTTGGCCTGTGAGGATTTCACTCCACAGATGAAGCCCTGCTTGGATACAGATGTAAAATGGCACAGAGCAGTTTACAGAAGGGCTGTGTACATGAATATGTATCTGTAATCTCTAAAACGTATAAACAAGACTCTAATAATCTAAATGCTCCCTTCTCCTTGAATAATATATCATTTGAGTAAAAGAGGATTTGAAATAAAATGAAAAATATAGCAGAAATAATACTTTCTTAAAATCATGTCCTTGAGAACATCATAATAAAATGCAGAAAAAAAATCCATCAATTCCCAAACCAGCAACTTCTCTCCCACACCCAAATGTGTTGGTGTAAAAGAATCTGCATAATTTTTAAACTTTGAAATGCTTTCAGTATTGTATTATTATCATTGCTTACATTTGACAGTTTTATAATATCTTAGGCGCTCTACCAGTATTCCTATTGTTTTAAAGTTTTTAAACTGAAAATTTCCAGATGGTTTATTTATAGATGATTAACATCATTAGGTGTTTTGGGATAACATTTCCTGTCACCAAATAGAGAAGCTTTTAGAAACTTATTTTATTTGAAAACATTTTAAAAACAATTACAACACAACTTTGAACTCTTGTCTTAAGGCTCAAATATTATCAGCAATAAAAAAAATGAAGAAAAATGGACAAGTTTTCTATTACAGGTATATAAGAAAAGCTTTCTTTCATCAAATAAAGAAGTGTGGAAATCGCTATAGTTTGAGCTTGACTTTGAAAATATATTCAACTTTACAGTATTTATGACTAGATATTTTGTTTCACCATTCTAATATGCTTAGAGTAACTAATTAGGTCCGACTACAGAACAAAAGTTATTTATTACAGAAACAGTGTATGTATGAAGTATTAGCTGTCCTGATGAGATGACTTTGCATCTCATTTGGGCAAATGTACTCCACTTTAAAGCTATTTACTACTTTATTTACTAAGCCTGGGGATTTCAGGGAAAAGAGAGAGACTGATTTAATACAGATGCCTAGAACACATTTTTAGCTCGCGTTTTGAGTTACCTCATACTGATACTTGGACATGAGCACCACAAAGCAAAAGAAAACAAATGCAGAAGAACCTTCCCTCCCCTAAGAGAAAGAGGGTACTTACAAATACAGTTCTAAAGTAATTTTTTAAAGGGAGATGATGACACAAAATAAAATACTGATGTTAAGAAACATTTTTACATGCATCTGCACTATATATCTGTATCAAAAATTTTAAGATTATTTCAGTCTACTGCACATACACAAGCCAGATTTAGATTGCAGAACATAATGACCTGGAATCAGATCATCCTGAAACAGCAGCATTAATTTTGCAACCTCTAAACTGAATCAAATGTCCACTTCTTAGAGAGGAATGTAAGGTACCTCTATATGCTGCGTGTTTCTTAAACAATGATTAAAAAAAACACACGAAGGCAGGCAGTGGAACGACAGTATGTGTAAAGTACATGCACGTTATATTTTCAAGATCAGGCCACCCTAAATAGGAACCACGGATGTTGAAACTTCATGTGTCCTAGAATATGAGATTGTGTCAAATACATGATCTTGTTATAACCTAAAGCTTACAGATCGTATATAATTAACTCTGAAATGCATGATTCAGAATTCATATATTTAATGACAGACATGTATCTTACTGCAAAATGCATACTTTGTTGCAGCAAAGTTGTATGTAGAATTTTCTGCAAAATGTGATGAGACAGAAATAAATGCCTCAATTAATCATTACATACCTTCCTCCTTCCGTTCACAATTATATAAGCTAAGAACATTTTTGTTATTTCTTGTTTGTCCCAGCTTAATGTATTTATTAGTCATCACTAACCCACAAGAATTCACCTTTGCACATACTTTAGGCATACTAAAATAAAATAAAATGAAATGATCGGTTTTTAAAGACACCACTCTTGCCTAGAGTAAACCTATTTTGTAGTTGTTACTCATCTCTGCATTTACATTTTCTTCAAGATATATCTTCAAAAATTATGAGTCATTGTCTTGTGCATTTTCACATTTCTCACAGCAGAACAGCATAAAAATATTTCCAGTGTCAAAAGGGAGGCTTTACTCAATTCACAGGCTTGGTCAGAAGGTGGAGCTCTATACATACCTGTATCACTTACTGCACATAAAATCTGCAACTACATATAAACCCACAGAAGTACTCAGAAAACAAACCTGCATTTAACTCCAAGATACAATTTGTTTCATAAATACAGCAGACCGCATCCGGTAACAAATGGCTCCTCTCCTAGCATTTGAAACCATTTTCAGTATGTTAAAAAAGTCACAATGAAATTTAACATTTCTTAAGTCCTCTTTTTCTTTGAAAAATAGGTTCACATTCTTTTTAAAAGATCGTAAGATAGTTGATACTTACAGGCATCTCTAATGTATAACAACATGGCTACAAAAATGTAGTCAACTAAATTCAGGGTGATACTGTCGGCAAATAGAGCATCCCAGACAACCAGAAGGTCCTGAAGTGGGAATTCACGTCCAAACAGGAGCCTTACCCATCGCCTGAAAAAAAAGGAAAAGGCGTGATTTGTATTTCTCCGTTTTGCCAAGTATGGTAAAGTCATGATACGTATCTCAGGATCATCTGCAATCCAAAACATTTTACCAGAAAATTTTGCAAAGCATGAAGATTTGTGATCATCACTTAACTAATTGTATTGGTGGAAATGTTACTGCATCTACATTAAAGAATTGACACATTACAGACTGCAGAAGCTTAACTGACTAATATTATTACGTGGGTGAACCTCAATGGACAAAACACATCAATCCTATATACCGTATTTTTGAGCATTTAATGTGATCGTGATCTAAGAAGAAAGCGAGAAAATGTTATGCAAAAATAGCCCGGAACAGCAAAAAGAGGAGAGTGAAGCCAGTGGTTTATGAGAAGCCCTAAAAAGCCCAGTCAAGTGAAAGCCAGTTCAGAGGCAGATGTCAATCAGCAGTTAAAATGGATTGGGTCACACTTAATTTAAAGAGGCTTCCTCCCTGGTATTGATGACAGCGTTTGCAGTTCCATGTAAAATATTCTATGGATGCTATTTTGATTAAACCTAATTTAAATCTTTATCAGATTTAGTGATAATCTGCATGTGAACTACGCCATTAATTCCTGTTCATATCTGTGCTGTTTTCATACCTAGCAAAATGTGAAAATCTATCTTGTGACACACAGTATTTGCTTGAGAAGAAAACTATGTCTCAAGATTTCTTATTTCCAGTTCTGGCTCTTACAACTGACTTGCTGACCTGAGGAAAGGCACTTCTCTTGCCTATTCCAGAACAGATCTGCTAGCTTTGTACCTTTTTAGGTAGCAAGGATTATCTAAGGTTACATTTGAAAGAGCTAAAGAATAGTTAGTAACATTAATCCTGAAATAGTTATTACGAAATGGACTTAAAAATAATGAATTACATTTTTAGCTGGGATATGCAAATCACTACGCATGTGGAATCTGTTTATTCAGTGGCAAGAAAAGATTGATTGCAAATTTCTGCTAAGCAAATTAAGTCATTCTTTAAAACTCACAAAAATTCCTAAAAAGGCAACTAGAAATTTCTTCAAGATTAGTTTCTCTTGCAAGAATTCATGTTTAACCACTTTTGTCCCACAACTCATTGTTGGTTTAAGGCATCTTTTTCTTTTTTTCCTGATTCCAGTAATAAAAGTTCATTTCTAGACAAATGAATTCCAACACATCAGTCGAGCACAAGCTTTTAAGATAGCAACGATCTGTACAAAAAGACTCTCTTACAAAATACATTCAAAGGGACTATTCTGTGAATCAAAGTTTTGTTCACTTAAACTTTTATTGCTGCCACACCACTGGAACCACATGTATAATGCACAAAAACATCTATGTTACAGATTTAGAGATCACTACGCAGAATTTTTTCCCTTGCAAGACATGATTTCAAAAGCCAGCATCATCTCATCCTTCCTATCAAACATTTACGCTCTAAGGTCTCATCACTTTTTATGTTAGTGTGGTAATTATAAAAGTTGCAATATCAGCTATGACAAAGTACATACTCTATATATTTGCCTCTCTGATCAAACCCCTTTCTTATGAGGACTTCTTTTCAGGCCCGAGAAAGAGAAGTCAGAAGAACTGTTAACACAACAGCAAGGCTTATCTAGTGCATTTAATACCACGTCTGTTCTGTCTAAGGGATTTTGCCATATAGTGGCACATTACCCTACAGTGCCTAGCCTACAGGAGACTATTATCCTATGGTGACACAAACATTACCCAAACTCTGCGTGAAGCCTATTACTTGCATTAACAATCCCTCCCACCTGTAAAACCGCAACTTTCAAGTTACACAAACTGTTAGGCGAGAAATTTCAGCTAAGCTTGAAGCATTTGAGCTGACTTTGCTTGCAACTACCCAAATCTCATTCAGAAGCCTTGCTAAAAGTCTAATACACTTCAAGGGAAAAAATACACCATGGTGTAATGGGATTTGTTATTAGTCTTTTATTAGAAATCTCTTTTGCTTCTTTACTACTTCATTATGCAGTGTTAATCGTTTGTAGATGCAGGTTTATTCTGCTCAAGCAGAAGTCATTCCTTTTTTTCTCCTGCTTTTATATTTTCTCCTGGGAAAATTAAATCTCCGTCCCCAGAGGTATCACGTTTCACAGATGTAGACTGCTGAAGAACAACTGGACTTCCTTTTGCAATCATAATATTACTGTTAATTATTTGAACCTTCCTGTCTTAAAGGGAGTAAGCAATTCATACTGTTGTAAATGCATATATACTAACTGCTCTCTTATTTTCTTCAGCAGCATTTAGCTCATAGCATCTATAAACCAAGGACCCTATTGCCTATGAACCATGCTGCCATATGGCAGGACTTCACTCAGCTTTTATATTCATAAAAAAGGATCTTAATTCCTTAAAGTAAGTGTCCACACCGAAAAGCTGTCTTTCAAACGAACACGTTCTTACTGCTTTTACAAATATCTGCAGAGAATTTAAAGACACACTTAATAATTGCATTGGACATGATAAACCTTTTTTTTTTTTTTTTTGAGATGGCTGTCTGCGGTTTAATTATTGTTCTGTCCTGTTAATCTTGCCTTACATCTGTTACACCTGCAGACTGCGAGGCTCACAATAGTATACCTTTTATCACATGCAGTAATACAGTAATTCATATTTTACCAGGCATACTTAGCAATTAAAATCTACAAAAAAACCCCAAACCAGATTCTTTAAAGCTGTAATACACCAAGGTACTACTACCTACATTGTAGAATACGTAACTGTATCTTCCACTTATGATTCCTATATAATTAAACCAATATTCTCAAGAGATCAGTAATTACTAGCAATAGCTAATGATTCATTAATGACCTTACAACATAGAGAAATCAGGAGAAAACTGTGCTCTAGTAAAGCCATTAAATAAGGCAATGATCCAGCCTTACCAGTTTTAACTAAAACCACAACCATTTTGACTGAGATTTACAGGACAATTCTCCAAGCATCAATAAAATTGACTTATGTTATGTGTTACGTATATTTAGCTGGTTATGTTCTCTGTCTTCTTGGAAGGCAGAGAATTCTGAAAAAATAAACTAAATAAGCCTAAGAAATGGTTACAGTTGAGGCGATACAAACAGTTTAGGAGTGTTTAGGAGGATAAAACAACACAATGAAATCAGAAAGAATAAGAAAAACCGTAACACCAGGAAAATGGAAAGCATGACTCTGAAGTTACTTCTAAATGACTAAATCCAGGACCTACCACTTGTCCACAAGTTGCCTAAAAATTCTACTGTAAGAGCCTGTTTTCAGCCATTTATACTTTTCCTAATCTCAATCTTCAGTACAATTTCCACTCCAAGCATCTGCTCAAGGCGTGATTCTTTTTTATTCATTGATACTATTCATTAGAACAGGATTAAAAAAAATTCTGCACAGGCTTAACTTATTTTTTCCCCAAGCTTTTAATTAAGAAGGTCTAGAATCAAAACAGCAAGGTCTCTGGTATTTCCTTTTTGCTGTATATACTTAAAAAATGCCCAAATTTGATGATTCCTTGGTTGACCTAAACACACCAGAGCGCAGATTTCTGCAGAGTATGTCCTGTCTCTTCCTAACTCTCCCCACCAACCCAATGGCGCATCTGCCATCCCATCCCTCACCCCAGCTGCACCCTCCTTCCTGCACGGGAAACGGCCAAGGTGCGGATCATCCATCGGCAGTGGCTGGTGCCACTTCGTGGATGTGACGGCGGAGGACGCTGTTCATCCAGTTTCCAATGCTTGCGAGACTCGCTAGCGGGAGTCTTCCAGAGAAAGGGAGGGTCAGTAGGATTTTGCAGGATGTCATTTTGTTCTCAGTGCAACTTTGGTGCGCTTTTTTTAAATAAGAAAATTATTTAAATGGACTGTAAGTATTGAAAAGAACACCATCTTATCAAAACTAAGCACTCGGAAGCTGAGAAATGCCAAAATTAACATCAGTTGTTTACTCACTGAGAAAATGATATGTACGCTCTGTCTCTTTAAACTCTGTCATGAATTATGTTCAAGCAAACATTTGTAGCCAGTGCAATTTACTATGTAAAGTCATGGTCAATAATTTAGGAGAAAGGGGAGACAGACTTGAGCTGTGATTTGCTTGTTCAAAAATAAGATATGGAAAAAGGATGAGGAGCAACATTTGTATAACACTTTCAAAAGAACTTAAAGCTATACGGAAGATAAAGAATTAAATATTTCAATGCCAGGCAGTAAGCACTACTCTGGACCGACCTGACGCCTGTGCTATGATTTCGGACGTCTGTGTTTCTAACCTGGGGACGCTGGGTGGGCTGCAGTTGAAGGCGGCTGTGTGTCTGTCTCCCTGGATGTTCTTCTGCAGGGGGCTACTACTCCTGGAGCAGCGCTCGTCAACAATCCCATGGATGAGAAGGGAGAGCAAAGCTAGTTGCAAATATACAGCAAAAGCACCCTCAAAAGAAGACATTTGATACCAGGAACTCTCCTGGATTTGGCAGTCGCCAGACAGTCAGAGAGGACACAGGCAAGTTCAATCAGAGGATGAAATTGATATGGGTGTAAGATAATTTACTTGCTTTTAATGACACGAAGGAGACCAATCAAGACAAGTTTTAGAAACATTTCAGCTTAGACTTGTTACACAGTCCATTTCTCCAGTGTTCTGTCGCTTTTCTTAATAAATCTCATTTTTATTAAGACTCCCGTGGCTTTATACAGTTCAGGGATTTTGTATGGAGTGTCCTAATGAGATTAATAAAACCTTCAAATGATACAAGACAGTGAAGGAAACATGCCCGAAGTATAATCACAACTTGTTCTTTCAGCTCCTCTTCAACAAGGGTCTTGGAGAACGGTAGTACTGCTCTTGTTGCACGAGGAACTCTTAATGATCGCAGATGAGAAGAAATGCAAAAGAGCTAATAGTAACAATTAACAAAATGGTATTGCTAAAATAAACTGAGCCTTATTAAAAATCAATATTTTGTCAGAACAAAAAGAAGCATCTGAAATCCCAGTAAAGTAAAAAAAAAATCCTAATATAAGAAGTTATGTGGGAAGCTCACCAGACTTTCAAGGATTTACTGAAACTTCTGATGTGTTCCATCTAAACGCTGAGAATTTTACACAGCATACCCTCGCATGCACACCGCCCATAAAGGATGTACAGTGAGATATTGTTACAGCATATATTGCATTTTTTTGCCTTAATCTACTTAACTTGTGAAGGGAACAAAAACAGACATCTTGCTACAAGATGTGTTTACTTCAACCATAAATTCAAATGTTAATTCTGGATTTATTAGATAAAATTATGTGGCCTTTGTCATTTGAGAAGGCAGACGAGATGATCAGATTTTCCTTAGGCTTTAAAACATTTAAATATTATAGATTTCTACCATACTGACTACAGCAGTGTATGTCGATTGTAGAAAACTGTGTGTGATAAGGAGGGAAAAAGTGTAGGCCAGCATCTAACAAATCTCCTTAGACTTCAAGATAACAGAAGGCATATAATAAAGATTCTTCTTACGTGTACACGTACACCTGCCTTATCTGTTTAAGTAACTTCAGGTTTGTATGTTAACTACTATTCTGTCAGAGAACGACAAACTCGCTTTCTTGTGACCGTGATCTAGGTGGGACTGTCCGGGCCTGCACTCGCACGCGGGGTATATTCATTTCATTTGGCTTCTCCTGTACTGGCTGCATGAAGATTTGGTGGATCATCGCACCAAATGCACGAATCATGGCTACTACCATTGGATGGATACAGTGTAGGGCTTTTCGGTTTCCATTAATTTTTTAAGTTTCGCATAGTTATATTAAAAACCCCTCAACGTTAAAAACTTCTCTTACGATCCACAGGCTTTCTGTTCTGCAGCTTAAAGAGTAGGGGCCTTAAATAGTAGTTATATGCAAAGATAAGAATTATAGTGTTTGAAAACAATACAAATAAAAATGAAACTATGCATTTACATTATGGATTATATGGGTTTCAAACTCTACTGTAGGTTTTTCTGATAGGAAATAAATATTTAAAATTAAATAATAATGATAATGAACACTTGTTTATTAATATAAATCTATTCAAGTTTAGCCTAAGTGACAGACAAGAATCTGGTACATAGTATACTTTGTTGCCTTCTTTCCACTGAGGAAAACGGTTCTGATTTGTCCTAAAAAATTCTACATATCTTGGTTTTTTTTAATATTAATTACTTTATCATACACAGACTAGCATAACTCTTCAAAATAAATACCTTTAATTTTATTTTAACAAATAAATTATATGACATGAGCATCTAATTGTTATTTGGATTATTTCCTTCCCCATTTGGTTTCTTTAAGATTACTGGCAAAGATTACTCAGTTTTGCATTTAAGAAAAATTCTTTCCATTTTTTGAGAACTATGCATTTCCTTACTAAAGAAGGTTTTTCTTTCTAAAAAATGAGTTCCTAATCATTATCTCCCCCTCCTTACTGTAATTCATGTGCCTTCGCAAAAGCACTTACCACTGTGTTAACCCAGACCAATTGTACTGTACTCACGTGCAAATGAAACAGGTGCCATTGCATCTTCATAGTAGTAACATTTAATATTTTTAGGAATGTACTACAACAAAACTATTTAATCTGTTAGCCTGCTTTGGGCAGGTTTCTGTTCCAGCTCTTAACTAACTTTAGGCACTTGTTTTGGCATCAGTGCTGCCCTTGGCTTCAGACTTTACTTGGCTGTTGCTGTCACCTACTGCTGCTCCCAACCTACAGCCAACTTCTTGCGTGGTACCAGTAACTACTGCTGGGTGCCTTGGGCATGTTCACCAGAAGTGGTGGTGCCCCACTATAGGGAAGATAATTTTCCTTCTTGTTCTTGCTATGGTCTTGGTCCCTGATGTAGTTCTAGCCTGCTGTACTGTTTTAAGTGTTGATAGCCGTATTTTGATGTTCCTGTGAATTTGTTTTGGAAGTTCTTTCATGCAATCTTTGATTGATCATGGCAACTGGGAGAATGTCCAAAGACTGGAGGAAAGCAAATGCCACTCCTACCTTCAAGAAGGTTAAGGAGGACCCAGGAACTACAGGCCAGTCAGCCTCACCTTGATCCCTGGGGATGATGGAACAGCTAATCCTGGAAACCATTTCCAGGCACATGAAGGACAAGAAAATCATCAGCATGGCTTCACCAGGGGGAAGACAAATGATACACAAATTCATACCCATGAAAAGCCATGTCAAATATACACCAAAAGATCACCACAAGCAGCTCTTCTCCCTCAAAAGCCACAATAACCCCATAAACAAAAATAACCCCCCTGCAATGACAAATAGACCATTGGAGAAATTTGCCTCAAGATATGGTGGTTTTCCATACTGGAAGCTTTAAATACTAATCAGATGTTATTACAAAATTCTGAATAGGTATTATGTAATATTGGATCTGATTCAGAGATTATTTGATCAAATCCTATAAAGGCAGGAATTCAGACTAATTAAACTCATAAACCTGTATAATCTTCAGTTACTGCTCTGATTTTGCAATTTATTTGATTGATCTTCTTAATGCAAAACTCCAATAATATGAGTGGCTGAAACAAGCTCTTAACCTGTATGTAATTGGTTCACCTTTTCTTCACCTAATGGGTGAATTTTCTTTTGAATTTTTTTCTCTAGAGAATTCTAGTTTCTCTGCATATTCAAAAACTGTTTAAAGTAGTAGTTTTATCTGCAGGCTTTGCCAATGGTTCCCTCACCAAATCTGCAACAGTCCATTTCTGGAAAAGCTTGGATCTAAATTTATTTATCACAGTAATTACGGACTAACACACTGTAAGACACAATGACTGTTTTCATTATCAGTTCAGTTCTCCACCAGTTTTAGCCTGATGTACTGGCTTGGGTAGATTACAGACACTTCCCCTTTCCACTTCATCCCTCTAACATTTTCAGAGGCTGTTTTGGTTTTTAGATACTGCAAAACTATAAGCTTGTGGAATAGGAAAGAGTAAAAAACCAAACCCTCTCTCATTAGTCTGTTCAACTGATTTGAAAATGGATTTGATTAGTATCAGAGAGCAGTCTGCAACTGGCTTTTCCATAACACTAAAACCTTCAAAAACAGAGCTAAGAACTTGAATGCGTTTAGAAGAGAAAACATAAAAAAGTTTCCATTTTTTTTCAGCA